AAGACTACTGCTCATTTACTCTCAGAATGTCTGACTAGAGGGATCTGAGAAACCCTCCATGGAGGCGGCACATGACACTCAATGCTGTCTGACACACAGCTCACTTCTATCCCCATGCAGCAGTCTTTGAGATTTTTTACTGAAACTTACCTAGGTCCCTGAGGTTGTCTCAGGGCCTTTCTAGTCACTCAGTAAGCCACTTCAAAGGAAGACTCCTAGTCAGTTTGCTTAAAGCTGGGAACCTGGAAGATGCCATCTCTGTACTTAGGAGAAGGTAAACATTCCCAGAAGAAGGGCCAGTGTTCTGTCTTCTCTTCAGTACTGAGAGCTCTAATGAGGGGAGCATCCAGGGTGTTTGGTGCCCAGGCCTTTGGGTAACAACCGAGGAAATTTGGAACAGCAAGTGACCCAAGGAAACCATTTTGCCAGTATCACCTGAGAGACTCCATATTGCGTTGAGCATTTGCTAGATAAAAACCAGCGTATGCAGTGATTTCTAAAATTACTGCATTTCCTTTCACATTTACAAAAGACCTTCCAACAGATTTTCCTGTTTTCTTTCATTTGAACCTCACAACAACCTGTTATGGGAGATGGGTCTGTAAAAAGCCTGTTTTTACAGATGAGAAAACTGAAGCCCAAAGAGTAGAATACTCTATAAGAGGATAGTGATTAATGGGTATTCTTGAAGGATCTAAGTCTTTGGTAATTTTCTGGCCAGGTTGGGAGTCTTTATTATTATTGATCTCTGCAATGAGATCATAAGCAGGTTCACTATGAAAATGGATTTTTTCAAGCCACTGAAACCTGGGGTCAGAACCATGAGAGCAGACAGGGTATATGAGCATGGGATTTCCATGGACGTGGATATTTTCTACCCATCACCTAGAGGATGTATCTGACTATAATTTGTGGGCCATAGCCATTGGTGAGAGAAATTATTTGGTTGGAACACAACAAAGTCACTGTCTGTATCATGAGTCAGCAAACGTTTTCTGTAAAGAAAGCCAGGTAGTAAATATTTAAGGCTCTGTCATTGCTACTAGACCCTACTGATGTGGTGTGAAAGTTATTGGGCATGGATATGTTCCAATAAAATGCTGTTTACAAAAACAGGTGACAGGCTGGGTTGGCTTCCCAGGCTATAGTTTGCCAAACCCTGATCTAGATTTATAAAGGCATTTCTGCTGTGTCTTGGGATACCCAATACTTAGAATTGTGATTATTTGATATATGAAATTGACAGGCACTACCAAAATTGGAATGAATGTAAGTGTAATGGATGAAAGCAACCATCTGTTGAAATGATCAAGATGTTTTCTCTATATGATTGGCTGAGCAATTATTGGCCCAAACACAACTAATATCCAATAAAGTTTATTGAACCTTGTTTAAGGAAAATTCAATAACCTGAAAGCAAAAATTTGCCAGTATTTATCTAATACGTGTGTGTGTGTATGTGTGTGTGTGTGTGTGTGTGTGTGTGAGAGAGAGAGAGAGAGAGAGAGAGAGAGAGAGAGAGAGAAAGAGAATGAGAGAGAAAGAGAGAGAGAGGAAGAGAGAGATAGAGAGAAGACTCAAACTTTTCAATGATTCGCTGAGACCTACCTTGGTGGTCTGGATGGAATGGCCCCCAAGATGGTCAGCCTACCAGTACCCCTCTGTCAGCCTTCTTTTGGGTGTTCTGTCTGCCCTGGCTTCCTCTTGTAGAGAAGAATCGTCCTGGATTGTGCTCATGAATATTCAAGTCACTGGAAAAAACAAATTTCCACTGTAAAAAATAAAATGATGTCTGGATTATATATTAGTCTTTTGGTATATGAGTCTGGGTAGTATGTCAGTCCTTGAAAACCCAGCATCTTCTTAGAATCTTGGGAAAAGAATTTCCGGTCTCCCAGTGATGAAGATCAGCTTGCACTATGGCAATTCCTACAGCATGCTGTCCTTGGAAGCCTTGTTTGGAGGTCCATTGGAATCATGGCATCTCTATCATGTCCTTTTCTGACTTCAACATGGTTGTATTCCTCTTGACCTGGGCAGAAGATATCTCTGATGTCACTTATACACAGTTGCATGTCTAAGTTTTAAAAAGGCAAATAACAGAAGTTGTATCCTGGAAAGTGAATGTGAGCTATTAAAACTAAGCTATTGATTGAGGGACTCAGTGAGTAATGTGTTTAGGGAACTAGAGCATGAAATTTTTGTTTGAACTATCATATAGTACAGCAGAGAAAAAAATCAACATACAAGTATTTGAGCATATTTCACTTGATTGCAAGGGCATTGTAAGGATAGGTTAGACTTAATGCTGTGCTAACAATTTCCAAATTTCAGTGGCTTAATATAGAAAAACCTATTCCTGCTCTTACAGAGTCTCTTGAGTCTATGGGAAATGTGGATGGAAGGAGGGCTGTACTCCACTTACTCACTCAGGGACCTAGGCTAATGAAGACTACCACCTGGAATGTCAAAAAATTCCTGCTGTAAGGGAAAAGAGAACCTGGGGAATCATGTAGGGGCCTTTAAAATGGTATTTCATCTAACATTTCACTAGCCAGAATATTAGTCACATAGCCAACCTACTTCAAGGGGGTTTGAGGATGTAGTCTTCTGTGTGTCTATCGCAGGCATGCCACAGAGCATGGATAGCCAAGGGGAACCATCTCAGGCATGGTTGACAGCAGATGGAGGAGTGAGGAAAGAGCTTGAGAAAGATGAAGGATAGAATGCCTGCTTCCTGATAGGTCGCCTAGTCCTCAGCTTGAGCTATCCCAATGTTCCACAAACATTAGGGTGGCATTTTCCAATTTAATCAATAGGAAACTCTCTTTTTAAGATTCTATTAAGATAAACCAGGGTACTGCCACCAAGAAGGAATTTATATCTAATTATTTTATAACACAGAGTAACTCCTGTCCCATGACTCTGTCTTTACCAATAACTCTAAGAGCCACGTTCCTAAAAGTCTCCTGCAGGAAGGGAGAGGGGTAAAATGTTCTCAGGCCCCATCCCTTTGTTGCTAACTCTCTTGAGTTTAGGAGCACTACTTAACCATTGGTTATTTAAAATAAATGACATGATCCAAGCTAACTTTAGTTGCTCTTGTCTCCTGCCTTAAGTGATGACATAGCCACTCCCAATCCCACATGCCAAATAAAGAAACCAGAGGATGAGGGTTCTGGAGAGGAAATGGAGCCGTGCAGGAGGGGTCTGGGTGATTCCAGAGATGAAATGCCAGTGGGTGTTCTCAAGCTTGCCACAAACCACCGGAAGGTTGGGCTGAGCTGGATTTATTTGAAGAGTATAGCATGGGATGAACAGGGAAAAAATTGTGGGGGTTGAGTGCTCTTTAGGCCCTTGCATTTTGGGGTAAGGTGATAATTCAGTAGTAGTTTGTGATACCCATGGACTGACTCACATTTTTCCAAAAAGCAAGCCTGACAAAATCTTGTCCAACCTGGTAGTCATGGGGGACTCTGGAGTGAGAATGACCCATCAGAGTTGTTCACCATCAGTCCACCAAACTGGCTGGGCCCATGTGCCCACCACCCTCTCCACGTGTGGGCTGTCTTGGGGAGGGCATGACCTTGTGCAAGCACCTCTTGCAGCTGAGCATCAACTCATTCTTTGAAGGGGGTCTAGGCAGTTATCTCCATGTCTACCACAAGCTTTGCACCCATTGCACTCTCCTTGTTTTGATTTTTACATTGAGAAGAACTTCAGAGATGTAGCCAGATCATAGATTAGACTGTCTGGAAATCCAGCAAATATATCTGGCTTGGACAGAAAGCCTGGAGTATAATCAGATTAGTTGGTGACCCATTTTCCCAGTCTCTGGTTAGCGACTAAGCGGATTTTCTTCCCTGAGGCCTTTTTGTATCATGAGTCTTAGGGTGACCCATGGAATTTCAATATTTGTCAGGAAGTACTCCAAGTAATAAGGAAATAGATTTTGCTGTTTTTAAAGAGTCTGTATAGGAGGTGAATTAAAATGTATTAGTCACCTCCTATATATTAAGTACTTTATTTTACATAATCTCAAAATTTCCTAGAAACACTATGAAGCATTTAATAATTTCCTTATTTTGCAGGGAAGACTCCTAGAAGTTAAATGACCTTCAAAGATTTCAAGACTAGGAAGCATAAGCTAGAGAGAAGACCCCATGGGAACAGTTTGACTCACCAGTGCATCCTTGCACCCAGCAAGAGTGTGGCTTGGAGCAGATGATGAGTAAATATGTCAAATGAAAGAAGAGTGTCAGGGAAATTATCCAAAGTCACATATATCTCACTTTAAAATGTAGGCTTTTCATTTTTATCATGTGAAAATATGATAAAAAGCATTCAGGAAAACTTGTGAGATCCAAGATACATATTTTGGTTTAATCAGAAAGCACCACCTCATTGTTTAACCTCTGCACTATGATTCTTCTCTGACTCTGGTCATTCAAGAGACAGAGCAAGCCATTTTATTATAGTAGAGGAAAGAATCCACCAGGCAAAGTGTTGGAGAGAGAACCATTGATAGGAATGGTCCCAGAATTACTTTGTTACCCATCATCTGCATTCACTTTTAGAAAATGGTTGAAAACTCTAGGTTTCAGGAGCCAATTGTCATTGATGAAGTATTAAACGGATTCTGGCCAAATCACCTGAACCACGGTGCTCAGAACAGACTTCTTGTTTCATCACCTTCTTGTCTCTCTTATCTTTTGTGACTGAGGGAAGCAGTATCAGCACTGAACTGGACATCTAGCTTCGAGTTTGCTTTCCAGACTCAAGAACCAGACAAAGCATGAATTTTCTGACTTAAGAAATCCCTCTTCATGGGTTCTTATTGAGCTTGTGAGCTGGGCCATGATAGACCTCAGAGTGTCCAGGGGCTTTGCCACTGCTATGCTGACCTACATTGCCATGGATTACAAATAATAGGATTTACCATTTGAAAGCTTGGAATATACTTATTCAAATCTTGCAAGGTAGTTTATTTAAAGAGGAATATGGCTGCAGTTTCTCACTATTTCCTGCTAGTTCTGGTCTTTCTGGATTCGCATGCAGCTCAGCCACCCTGTCTGCCAGGATGTACCTGCTCAGAAGAGAGTTTTGGCAGGTGCACTGTGCTAGCAAAATGCTAGAAGGTTGCTTTGGGGATGATGTGGAGTGGGAGCAGGCACAGATTTGTCAGGAAGTCTGTGAATCTCTGTGATACTCATTCTAGTTGGTGCTGAACTTTGATGAACTGTGCACTTTTACCAAATGGGTCACTCTTCTATCTCAAGTGAATAATGTAATTTTTCTTCTAATTCATGTATGTAATGCCAGGATAAGATCCCACTTCCCAGATCTCTGATGTTCATCTAAAAGCTTTTCTGGTTTCTTGTGCAGGACTTTGCTGTGCATGTCTACCTCTTTGGGAAAGATTCCAGGTAACCTTCCTGAAGAGTTCAAGCAAGTGAGAATTGAAAATACGCCCCTATATGAACTGCCCCTGGGGCTTTTCATCAACATGAGCATCTTGGAATACCTTTGGCTCAATTTTAATAATATCACAGTGATCCACCCAGGAGCCCTGGAGCACCTGTCAGAACTGAAAGAGCTGAGGCTGGAAGGGAACAAACTCCGTTCAGTGCCATGGGCAGCTTTCCGTGCTACGCAGCTCCTGAGGATCTTGGATCTCAAACACAACAGGATTGATGTACTCCCTGAGATGGCTCTTCAGTTCTTGGTCAACCTGACCTACCTTGATCTATCATCTAATAGGCTTACAGTTGTATCCAAGAGTGTCTTTTTGAACTGGCCAGCCTACCAGAAACTCCAGCAGCATGGCTGTGGGGTGAAAATTCTTTCCAGCCTGGTGCTGGCACTGCACAACAATCCCTGGCTATGTGACTGTCGCCTAAGAGGACTTGTCCAGTTTGTAAAGTTCATCAGCCTCCCCATCATCCTGGTGAATCCGTACCTGATGTGTCGAGGCCCTGTCTCCAAGGCAGGGCAGCTGTTTCATGAAACTGAGCTCAGTGCTTGTGTAAAGCCACAGATCTCAACCCCCAGTATCAACGTCACCATCCACGTGGGACAGAACGTGACCCTGCAATGTCTGGCACAGGCCAGACCCTTACCAACCATTACATGGATTTATCCCCTGAGCATGTGGAGAGAATTTGATGGTAAGCCACATGCACCCTCTCACTGTATCTGGAGGGATGGGGAGATCCACAGTAACCCTGTCTTCAACAGAGAGCTTCTAGACTGGGTCAGTCAAGAAGGAAGGGTTCAGGTGAGATTGGGATAAGCCTGAATTATACTCACGACAGAGATACCAAGATAGTGTTTCACTGGCATTATTAAAATACTGGCACTATTTTAAATGATTGCATACAGATCTCTCTCTATATATTATATAAATATGTAAATATATATATTAGAGTTTACTTAACATATTGTATAAATATTATAGAATTGTATATGAACAAATATATTCTTTGAGAGACTCCTAGATACAAAGCACTGTACCCTGTGTTTTTAAATCATAGAATTTCTGACTAGGACTATTCTAGAGATTATATATTACTTATTTCCTAAATTTGTCTGAACAGACTCACATAGGGTGCTTGTTTGAAATAAGAAGTTCAGTTTCCTGCCCTGGAGATTTGAATTCAGGGAGTCCAGGTTAAGGCTTGAGAATATGTATTTTAACAAGTATCTTCCTTCCACCCCCAACCAGCTAATTCTTACCAGCAGTCGTGGTTGGGAAGTCCTGGATATCAATTGAATTTTATGCTTCCCAGCACTGTGTTGATCAGAACTTACTGGCCTGAAGTTGTAATATTGGGACCCAGGGAGTGGAAATGACTTCCATGGGCACCACGAGTAGGATTCAAACCTGCCTTTCACTCCATGGATATCTGTGCTCTGCTTTCATATCTTATCTCTATATGGAATCACCTTTAATGCCATCCCTCACGGTTGGGACACGAAGCCAGGCATGGCTTCCCTATGGGTACTGTGAAGCTGTCTAGAAAAGAGCTAGAAATATCTTTGTAAAACTTGAGAAATACAGCCAGTCACCCAGATATTTGCTATGCATGGTGACAAACCTCTGGATGATAAAAAAATACCTAATTAATGCAAATTTGACTTTTTTCTATCATTTTGATCACACCTTACTGGCTCGAGGTTAAATAAAAATGAAGGAGAAATACAGATTTTATTGTTGTAGCCTATTTAAGAACAATGAAATACATTCAGATGTTGTCCTTATGATGCTTTATAGTCAGTCTCTTTGGTATCATGTTATCTATATTATCTCAGTAATAACACCTAACACTGAGCACTTACTATCAAACTTACAATGAGTACTGTTGTCATCCCATTTGACTGATGAAAAAATTGAGGCCAAGAGAATCTAAGAAACTTGTCCAAGACCATATACTTAGTAAGGGATAGAACCCAAACATTTAGTTGCAGGCTCTGAGACCCTCCACATCTGGGAGGTAAAATGGCACTTCTTGAAGCTCACAATAATATTGCACAATCACACAGTTTTGAGAGATCTCCTGGAATCCATGGTCTTATTTCAGAAAGGCCAAGGTAGTTTGATAGAAACATCTAGTGTAATTGAAAGAATGTGATCTCCACAGACAGAAGAACAAGATTCTAGATTTATTGCTACCCCCAAAAAACTCGCTATGGGCAAATTGCTTAATTGCTCCAATCTTCAACTTCCTATGTATAAAAAATTGGGTACTTCCTTTGTTGAGAGGCAAACACCTGGCACCAAGTACATGCTTAATAAATGGTCACCACCACCTTTTGGTGAAAAACTGGCCTTGTTGGACACTCTCCAGCTGTCCATCAGAGAAATGTCTATCAGAGCTGTTGTTTTTTCTCTCCCCCCAGTGTTGACCATATCTACTGCGGAAGATACTGCTCTTTCAGGGCTGGTCATACCTGCTGCCCACCTGGTAGACAGGGGCAATTACACCTGTGTGGCCTCCAACTCCATTGGCAGGAGCACCCTTGTCATCTCCCTCCACGTCCAACCTGCCCAGGCCCCATCTGCAACTCATTCTCTTTTGTCCCTCTCCGAGGGCAACACCTACATTGACCTGCGGGTTGTCAAGCAAACAGTGCACGGGATCCTGCTGGAGTGGTTTGCAGTGGCCGACACCCCTGAGGAGAAGTGGTTCACCCTCTATATTGCATCAGATGAAGCCCTCAAGAAGGAGGTGGTCCACATGGGCCCTGGAATCAACACATACGCTGTGGATGACCTCCTCCCTGGCACGAAATATGAGGCATGCCTCAGCCTGGGTGGCCAGCCCCCCCACCAGGGCCAGTGTGTGGTCTTTGTAACCGGCAGAGCCCAGGGAGGGCTGGAGGGCCGGGAGCGCCTGCTGCACGTCACAGTGGTCCTGTGCGCTGTGCTGCTCACAGTGCCCCTGGGTGCCTACGTCTGGGCAGCCCAGGCTCCTGGCAGCTGCAGGGAGTGGGGCCTGCACTGCTGTCCTTTACGCAGGAAAGCCCTCAGGTGCCCTCATGCAGTCCCGCAGCACAGGGACGGCTCCTGCAGGGACCACATAGCTGTCTGTGAGGATGGCCCAGGACACAGAGATGCTGAGAGGGATGAGGAGAATGGTGGAAAGGAAGATAGTGGCTGAACAGTCCAGGCCAGGGGGAATGGTGTGGGCCTCTAGCCATTACCCAAACCCTCTGTGGCAGCTCAACTTGGCTTGACCCATTTATTCAAGAAGTATTAATTGTGCCCCTACTGTGTTCCCAGCAATTATGAGCAAGACACATTCTTATCTTCATGGATCTGATGTCAGTGCAGCTTTGTCCTATCCAATTAATTGTATAAATTATATGTAGTGGCTGCAAATTAATAAATGCTACTCTTTCCATCTATATAGCTCTATAACATTTACGTGCTTACATGTAACATTTACATATAACATTTCACATGTGTTATCCCATTGGAGAAAGATAGAATTCTACCCCTTTGCATTCCTGAAGAAACTGAAGCCCAGAAAGTTACCATGACTTTTGCAACACCACCCACCCAGCAGGCAGTGGAGGCACTGCATGCAAAAGACGTTCTAATTCTATTGCTCCCCCTCAATGTCTGGTTTGCAGTATTCTGTGTCTCCCATTGTTCAGAAAGTGTTATTCTTTTTATTGGCAAACTCCCAATGAGATGCTGTAAGTGTGATGTTCAGGAGAGCTGTCCTTTGGGGCAATGAGAGTTTTGTTCATGTTTAGAGTCTGCTTATGGGTGTCTGTGTTCCCATGAGCAATCGGTGCTCCTAAGAGCCTGGGGCTATCAGCAGTGAGGATCAGGAGACTTGCTGCCAGCCAGGGCTCACGTGTCATGTCAGAGTGACTGTTGGAAAGCAGAGTCACAAGAGCCATACCCAGAAGGAAAAGAACCTACATAAAATTGTATGATTCTATTATTATTATTATTATTATTATTATTATTATTATTATTATTATTATTATTATTATTTACAAAGAGAAGGCTACACATCCTGAATTCCCACCTAATCCCTTGAGATAGTGCGCTTTGGGCTTATGTTTTCAGCCCTGTATTCCTAGCATTTCAGTGCTGAGAATGACAAATGTTTTTGTTATAGAAATGAGGATATAATCCCCATTCCTTTCCCCTAGTCAATGATTCAAGGCCTCCTATTAAACCTTGGAGAAGTGGTCGTTCCCTCTTACATATATTCATGTATGCATATGTGTACAAAACAATGCATACATAAATGCAGTGCAATAGAGAACCCATTCATGAGGAAATTCCCATGATAACTTTTGAAGGAAAGTGGAGGGAGCAAGCCAAGAACTTGTACTTCTGTTGGTCTCTGCATGCCTCCTTCCATAGGATCAGAGGCCGTCCATGGGTCTTGGAGGGTGCAGCCTTCATGAAATGGCCTGGCGCTACCGCCGAGGCAGGAGTGGGTGTTCTGGCCTCCACTTCTGGCAAAGAAAGCTTCGTGGTGAGCATGAGGGGACAGCAGGAGGGAAGGGGCCATGGAAGAGGAGTGTAGCATAGCAGTCTCAGGATCATGTCGGTGAGCAGGCGCAGTGTTCAGCTGCTTCTGTGAACACAGAAATTTGGGGAGAGGTAACAAGGTCTAGAGGATTTCTGGGATCTGATATTTTAATACCCTTAGGCTGCCCTTTGAAAAAAATCACAGAGTAAAGATGCACATTACTCAGATTGATTAGATAGTATAACCAGAGGGGTAAGGGCATAGACTCTGGAGCCCAAGTGTCCTGGGCTTAGAGTTTGAGATTGTTTTTTACTGGTTTTGTAACATTGGGCAAGTTACTCTATTTTTCTGTGCCTTAATTTATAAACTGGGGATAGTAATAGTACCTGCCTCATAGGGTTTTCCTGATCTCCTGGTTCCATGTGAGCACAGCAGGGGACATCCTGGAGGTAGGATGAGCAGGTGTCTCCTCCAGTTTTTACATGTAAAGTTCTCAGAACTGTGCCTAGCACATAGTAAAGCCCTCAACAAATGTTATCACCATTTAAGGTATCTGAGGTTCATATATAGTGACATGATATCTAGGCTAATATCTTTCACATTCTGTTTGATTAATGTTTAATTTTGTTGTGTTTAGTTAATGTTTTGTTCTCTTCTGTTTAATTAATGTTTAAAAGATACTATAGTTTTAAATCCAGTTGTCACGCTCTTGGCAACTTTATCTATTTAGAGCTTAGACCATGGAATTTTAAGGCAAGTGCCTTCATTCAGAGACATCTGTGAACAGGGCCACTTGCCTTTAGAATGAAGCCATTGTTAGTCTCTGGCTTCTGCTATTGGCAACTTGAGGGAGGAATTTTGTCCTTTTTCTCTTTCTTCTTTTCTTCTGGCTTGTTAGAGCCTGTATCCCTGGTGCATATACTATATTCAGAACACGTGTTAAGAGAATGAATAAGTAAATTATTGATTAACGAATGAATGAGTGGACCTCATTCAGCTAAAAAGGTACATTTCCACAATTTCATAGTGTCATACAGATGTCCCCAGATCATTAGCCTATTGCTACAAAATAAGCTCACTTACTTTATTGATCAAATCGTGGTCACTGAAATCATCCGCACCTGATTCTAGAAACTAGGCCCTTCAGAATACTGCCCCCACCTCACCAGGGTTATTTCTGTGAAGCTCCTAGGGGTCCTCCCTATGCCCACATGCCAGTCTGGCAGCCCTAGTCCTCATGGGGCATCCTCCCCATTCTCCCTGTTCATCCTCCTATGGTCAGAGCCCTTAAAGACTGTCAGAGAAGCATTACTGCCTGCCAGCAATACCAACATCACACCAGGTAGGCTGGACCTGGAATCTCTCAAAGCTTCGAGTTCCTGAGAGCAGCAAAATTCCTGAAGACCTTAGAGAAACAGGGGACTGGCTCCTCCCCGGCTCTTGCCACACTATGGCAGTTGGGCTCTGCTGGACAGATGTTCAGTACAGTCTCACAGGTCCTCTTGGGGTTGTTTCATCAGTTCCTAACTGCCTGGGAGGGAAGATGCTCAAACACAGGCTGTAGAGTGCACAGGTCAGACGCTGGGTCAGCTGCCTGCCCATATTTCCCTCCTCTTCTACTGTCCTCTCTTCTCCAGTACAAAGGAAAGGCTCCATGGGCATGGAAACATCCTGGACGTAGGATGAGCAGGCGTCTCCTTCAGGATGTGGTGCTCTTGCATGTGGACTGTCAGCCTTTCTCAAATGCCCTCTTAGTTGTAGTCTTGTACAATTAAGAGTAATGACTGTCTGCCGAGCTTGTATCAGCAGGTACAAAGCTGATGCTAGGTGCTTTACAGAGATTAGCTCTGGTCATCTTCATAGCAGTGGTCTTTGGCATTATTCATTGATGAGGAAAAGGGTGCTCAGGAAGCCTTGGTCTCTTGCCCAAAGTCACACTTAAATAGCAGAACCAGGATTCAGACTCAGGGCTGTCAGGCTGTAAAGCACCATGTTATTTCATATAATTAGAAAGTCTGAGGTCAGTCACAAGAAAAAATGCACACTCTTCTGCAGACTTCTTGGAGTCATATGTATTGATTGTTCTTCCATTCTTGGGGGCCCAGGAGAGAGTGAGCCTGACTCACCTGTCACCCCTGCCTCCCAGCTCTTCACCCTGAGGCTGACATGGTGCCACCATGTAGTCCAGGGCTGTGCCAATGTGACTGGGCAGCAGTCCTGTGGCAGCCACCCTTCCCTAGAGCAGTGGGGCTTGGCCTGGCCTCACTCCCACTGGCTGGGGTCTCTCTTCCTGGGCTGCCATGTTTGCTGGCCTCTCAGGCTCAGCTGTACTTTCTTCCTTTTCCCAGTTTGGCTCATGCTGGCAACTAGGTACTTTCTCCATACCTCCCCATATCTGACCATGTGTGGAGTTTCCAAGATTGCCTCTGCCTTGGTTCAAGTTCCTGGGCCTGTGGAGGAGCCCACCTCCCTCCCAGGGCCCAGATGCTGGCCTGAGCTTCCAGCCCAGAGGCCTTCATGACCACTGTTCCGGAGAGAAAACCGCTTCCCAACTTTCATGCCCAGCCAGGCTTCCCAATTCCTACCCTCACTGGGCTGGGTTAGGGAATAATGAGTTCTAGATCCAGATCCCAGTCTTCCTCAAGCAGCCCTGCTAGGGCTTGTCTGGCTCAGGAGAAAAGCCCAGTCTAGGCCCTAATGGGCTATACTCTGCTGACATGCCCTAAATGTGCTAGTCAGAGGTGTATGCATGGCAATTTGGACACATTCAGCCTCCCACAGAGTCAGATCTGGAGGTTGGAGGAAGGATCCTCCCACCATAGGAGGGAGCGAGGAAGCAGGCTGAGCTTGGCTGTCAGGAAGACTGGTCTCTACAAGTCAGTTAACATGAACACAACCAGGGGGCAGGGGCTCAGGTTGTCCCTTAGTTAACAGATTTTATTTTATCATTTACAAAAGAAGTTGATTGCATGCAAGTTGTAAGGATGCTGTATTCCCTGTGGAGGGCAAACATGGTCCAAGGCAGCCCTCTCCTAAACCACAGGGTGCAAAGTTCCTGTATATTCAGTATATGTGAGTAACCTCAAAACTCAGACTTAGAAATCAAGAAACCATACATGCATACAATTTGTCAAAATAAAATCACCCTCATATTCTAGAGGAGTTGTAAGTGAATGGTGGGAAATATGAAGATCTGCTCTCCTTTCTCTCTGTACATATCCAGATTTCCTCACACAGCAGGTTTCCTTAGAGCCGGGGAGGACTCCTTGGAGTAATCATAGAGGCCTGCATGTCTCCTCTCCTTGGGGAGGTTGTCACAAGCTGAAAGAGGTGTGCCTGAATAAAGGGAAATCCCCTGGGGGTGGGGAGCCTTTGGACCAGGTCCTGCTACCAACCCGCTGTATGGCCTCAGGCAACCCCTCCTCTCTTGGGAATGTGTTTTTATCCTCTTGGCAAAAGGGAGGTTTGGTCTGGATGTGCTGCTTAGCTCTGGTACTCTCTGGCGGTGGTCGGCCAGGGTCTCTGGCGGTGGTCGGCCACACTGGGTCTGTGGTGGAGAACGCAAAGGGAGGCGTGTGTCTAGGGCAACGCCCTTGTCCAGCTCTGTCTGCCCGGGATGTGGGCCAGACCCAAATGCAGCACAGTGCCCCCTTGGGGTGCATGGCAGAGTAGATGAGAGGCTTCTAATACTTTGTGGAAGAGCTGCACCCCAGAGAACGGGGCTGCAGAAAAATACTTCACATTTGCGCTGCTTTGTGCTTGGCTAAAGCCCTCATCATCACATAGTATTTCAATCCTCACCTTAGGCCTGTGAGTGAGGCAGCCAGGACTTACTCTTTTCATTTTACAGATGAAGAAGAGAGTGGTCAGGGGATTTGAACAGCTTTCCCAAGCTTATGCCACGTGAGCAGAAGAGCCAGATAAAAATGGAAGTCTCCTCAGACCTCAGCCCTTCACTGTCACTTCAAGGACTTCTGGTGGGACAGCTTCCTAGAGGGGGGCCTTGATGCTCTTCTGGAAACTTCTAGGGCTACCACTGTGGCTCCAGCTTGGAGATTTCTGGGCCCATGGCAGCCCTGGCTGAGGCCATCTGCTGTCATCCTTGCATCGTCATCTTGGACCTCTGTGCTCCTGGTTCCATGTGAGCACAGCAGGGGACCAAAGTCTCTGCCCGGACACCAGCATCCCTCTTCCCGATGGCTTTCAGGCACAGTCCCAGTCAGCTGAGTTTTCAGTGCATCTTTGCCCTCCCCTGATGCATTTGCTCTCCTACAGCCTGCAAGGTTCGCTGATCTCCAGCCTCAGCCAGGACTAAACCAACCTTTCCTGCTCCTGCTCTTAGCCAGAGACTTTATGATTCATAACCTAGGAGGCCTTATCACATGTGGCTCGGGCTCTGCTCCTTGACTAAGGATGCTGAGGCCCCAGGGGTACCCAAGGGACTGTTAAGTCTGGGCTTGGTAAGTAGAAGACACATAGAGCTAGCTCTTTGTCTGTTTCCAGCCTCTGAGGAATGGGGAACCCCACAGTTGTGCCAAGGATGTAGGTGATGGGGAAGCGTTTGCCAACTGCATCCCGTAACCAGAGAAATCCCTTGCCCAAGGTGCTGTCCAGAGCCTTGGATATGGGTGTTACACCATTGTGCAAGACAGGAGTGACCATAAGGAGCAGGTAGTGGGGAGCATGGCCCAAGCCAACAGGGTGGTTGTTGGGGGGGAAGAGAGGGGCCACAGGACACACTTTAGAAGTAAGCCTTCTCATCTCCATGCTTCTTCTCAAACTTCTGCCTGAGCTCCAAGACCAGAGCTGACTGGCTGGGGCTCCCCAAGGCCTTGGGTTTGGGTGGCCACCGGGGTTGCTGAAGGGTGAGTGAGCCTGAGACTGTAGGCACAGTCCAGAGGGTCACGCCGGTGCTGGGCGCCATTCTGGTGGGCGGAGGGGGAGCCGGGGCTGGGGGCATGGTGCCTCCTGAGCTGTGTTTGTTGCAGTTCTCATGGGGAGGCTCCTCCCTGAGCTCAAACTTGTTAGTAGCCCTGGTCCTCCTGAGCTTGAGCCACTCAATGCGGATGGCGCGGGGTGCAGGGCTGGGCCGCTTGCGGAGCACACGTCGCACTGGCAGGACCTTGTTGGACTTCTTGTTGCGCCAGAAGGTGGCGGTGGAGATGAGGACGGTTATGGCCACGATGCTGGCTACGATGCCTGCCAGCACGCCCACAGCCTTCATGGGGTTGTCCTTGGTCTGCATCAGGAAGGCGGCCATGGGACTTCGGGACAGCATCTGGAAGAGAGAGCCAGCCCCTTGCTCCACATGGGGAAACTTGCTCCCCTTGCTCCACAAGCAGCCTTCAGCTGCTCCTGCCTGGTCCCTGAAGGAGGGCAGTGCAGGGCTGTGAGTTCCCTCAAGCCTGATGGTTTTTAAACTTTCTGGGGGTCAGGCATCCCTTGAGAATCTGTTGAGCACTATGGGCTTAATTCCAGGAAAAACTCACAAAGAGAAAATGTGACAGCTCAGCTCTCCAGAAAAATGCACATAGAGTGTGATGAAAACAATCTCTTTCAGATTAGCAGCTCCTGCCTTAGATGAACTCTGGTCTGGAGAGAGTAAGAAATTGCCTACCTTTGATTATGGAGGGCCTTGTTGGCCAGACTGCATCAGGAACTCCGTCAGTGATGACTCGCTGCCAGGTTCTGAGCTAAGAACTGCACATGCACATAGTAATTGCACTCTGGCTTTCAACACCCACCTGAAGGAGGATCACTGTTCCCATTTTACAGGAAAGGAAGTGGAGGCTTAGCAAAGCCTGAAGTCATACCATTAATGAATGTTGAAAGTAGGATTTTAACATGATTCCAAAGCCTATGTGTTTGATGGCCCCTGCAGCCTTTGCCAGCATTGAGTGTATTTTGGAGGAAGGCTGGAGACACTCTCTCCTTCTGGCCACTTTGCAGCAAGGCCTGAGCTGGTCTCTGACCCTCTTCCCAATCTAGGCTTTGTACCCACCTCAGTGTCTGTGATGTCAATCTTGAGTAAGGCTGTGGTGCTGAAGGATGGGAAGCCGCGGTCCTTGGCCTGCACCTCTAGGGACCATGTGGCATCTCTGTTACATATATAGTGACATGATATCTAGGCTAATATCTTTCACATTCTGTTTGATTAATGTTTAATTTTGTTGTGTTTAGTTAATGTTTTGTTCTCTTCTGTTTAATTAATGTTTAAAAGATACTATAGTTTTAAATCCAGTTGTCATGCTCTTGGCAACTTTATCTATTTAGAGCTTAGACCATGGAATTTTAAGGCAAGTGCCTTCATTCAGAGACATCTGTGAACAGGGCCACTTGCCTTTAGAATGAAGCCATTGTTAGTCTCTGGCTTCTGCTATTGGCAACTTGAGGGAGGAATTTTGTCCTTTTTCTCTTTCTTCTTTTCTTCTGGCTTGTTAGAGCCTGTATCCCTGGTGCATATACTATATTCAGAACACGTGTTAAGAGAATGAATAAGTAAATTATTGATTAACGAATGAATGAGTGGACCTCATTCAGCTAAAAAGGTACATTTCCACAATTTCATAGTGTCATACAGATGTCCCCAGATCATTAGCCTATTGCTACAAAATAAGCTCACTTACTTTATTGATCAAATCGTGGTCACTGAAATCATCCGCACCTGATTCTAGAAACTAGGCCCTTCAGAATACTGCCCCCACCTCACCAGGGTTATTTCTGTGAAGCTCCTAGGGGTCCTCCCTATGCCCACATGCCAGTCTGGCAGCCCTAGTCCTCATGGGGCATCCTCCCCATTCTCCCTGTTCATCCTCCTATGGTCAGAGCCCTTAAAGACTGTCAGAGAAGCATTACTGCCTGCCAGCAATACCAACATCACACCAGGTAGGCTGGACCTGGAATCTCTCAAAGCTTCGAGTTCCTGAGAGCAGCAAAATTCCTGAAGACCTTAGAGAAACAGGGGACTGGCTCCTCCCCGGCTCTTGCCACACTATGGCAGTTGGGCTCTGCTGGACAGATGTTCAGTACAGTCTCACAGGTCCTCTTGGGGTTGTTTCATCAGTTCCTAACTGCCTGGGAGGGAAGATGCTCAAACACAGGCTGTAGAGTGCACAGGTCAGACGCTGGGTCAGCTGCCTGCCCATATTTCCCTCCTCTTCTACTGTCCTCTCTTCTCCAGTACAAAGGAAAGGCTCCATGGGCATGGAAACATCCTGGACGTAGGATGAGCAGGCGTCTCCTTCAGGATGTGGTGCTCTTGCATGTGGACTGTCAGCCTTTCTCAAATGCCCTCTTAGTTGTAGTCTTGTACAATTAAGAGTAATGACTGTCTGCCGAGCTTGTATCAGCAGGTACAAAGCTGATGCTAGGTGCTTTACAGAGATTAGCTCTGGTCATCTTCATAGCAGTGGTCTTTGGCATTATTCATTGATGAGGAAAAGGGTGCTCAGGAAGCCTTGGTCTCTTGCCCAAAGTCACACTTAAATAGCAGAACCAGGATTCAGACTCAGGGCTGTCAGGCTGTAAAGCACCATGTTATTTCATATAATTAGAAAGTCTGAGGTCAGTCACAAGAAAAAATGCACACTCTTCTGCAGACTTCTTGGAGTCATATGTATTGATTGTCCTTCCATTCTTGGGGGCCCAGGAGAGAGTGAGCCTGACTCACCTGTCACCCCTGCCTCCCAGCTCTTCACCCTGAGGCTGACATGGTGCCACCATGTAGTCCAGGGCTGTGCCAATGTGACTGGGCAGCAGTCCTGTGGCAGCCACCCTTCCCTAGAGCAGTGGGGCTTGGCCTGGCCTCACTCCCACTGGCTGGGGTCTCTCTTCCTGGGCTGCCATGTTTGCTGGCCTCTCAGGCTCAGCTGTACTTTCTTCCTTTTCCCAGTTTGGCTCATGCTGGCAACTAGGTACTTTCTCCATACCTCCCCATATCTGACCATGTGTGGAGTTTCCAAGATTGCCTCTGCCTTGGTTCAAGTTCCTGGGCCTGTGGAGGAGCCCACCTCCCTCCCAGGGCCCAGATGCTGGCCTGAGCTTCCAGCCCAGAGGCCTTCATGACCACTGTTCCGGAGAGAAAACCGCTTCCCAACTTTCATGCCCAGCCAGGCTTCCCAATTCCTACCCTCACTGGGCTGGGTTAGGGAATAATGAGTTCTAGATCCAGATCCCAGTCTTCCTCAAGCAGCCCTGCTAGGGCTTGTCTGGCTCAGGAGAAAAGCCCAGTCTAGGCCCTAATGGGCTATACTCTGCTGACATGCCCTAAATGTGCTAGTCAGAGGTGTATGCATGGCAATTTGGACACATTCAGCCTCCCACAGAGTCAGATCTGGAGGTTGGAGGAAGGATCCTCCCACCATAGGAGGGAGCGAGGAAGCAGGCTGAGCTTGGCTGTCAGGAAGACTGGTCTCTACAAGTCAGTTAACATGAACACAACCAGGGGGCAGGGGCTCAGGTTGTCCCTTAGTTAACAGATTTTATTTTATCATTTACAAAAGAAGTTGATTGCATGCAAGTTGTAAGGATGCTGTATTCCCTGTGGAGGGCAAACATGGTCCAAGGCAGCCCTCTCCTAAACCACAGGGTGCAAAGTTCCTGTATATTCAGTATATGTGAGTAACCTCAAAACTCAGACTTAGAAATCAAGAAACCATACATGCATACAATTTGTCAAAATAAAATCACCCTCATATTCTAGAGGAGTTGTAAGTGAATGGTGGGAAATATGAAGATCTGCTCTCCTTTCTCTCTGTACATATCCAGATTTCCTCACACAGCAGGTTTCCTTAGAGCCGGGGAGGACTCCTTGGAGTAATCATAGAGGCCTGCATGTCTCCTCTCCTTGGGGAGGTTGTCACAAGCTGAAAGAGGTGTGCCTGAATAAAGGGAAATCCCCTGGGGGTGGGGAGCCTTTGGACCAGGTCCTGCTACCAACCCGCTGTATGGCCTCAGGCAACCCCTCCTCTCTTGGGAATGTGTTTTTATCCTCTTGGCAAAAGGGAGGTTTGGTCTGGATGTGCTGCTTAGCTCTGGTACTCTCTGGCGGTGGTCGGCCAGGGTCTCTGGCGGTGGTCGGCCACACTGGGTCTGTGGTGGAGAACGCAAAGGGAGGCGTGTGTCTAGGGCAACGCCCTTGTCCAGCTCTGTCTGCCCGGGATGTGGGCCAGACCCAAATGCAGCACAGTGCCCCCTTGGGGTGCATGGCAGAGTAGATGAGAGGCTTCTAATACTTTGTGGAAGAGCTGCACCCCAGAGAACGGGGCTGCAGAAAAATACTTCACATTTGCGCTGCTTTGTGCTTGGCTAAAGCCCTCATCATCACATAGTATTTCAATCCTCACCTTAGGCCTGTGAGTGAGGCAGCCAGGACTTACTCTTTTCATTTTACAGATGAAGAAGAGAGTGGTCAGGGGATTTGAACAGCTTTCCCAAGCTTATGCCACGTGAGCAGAAGAGCCAGATAAAAATGGAAGTCTCCTCAGACCTCAGCCCTTCACTGTCACTTCAAGGACTTCTGGTGGGACAGCTTCCTAGAGGGGGGCCTTGATGCTCTTCTGGAAACTTCTAGGGCTACCACTGTGGCTCCAGCTTGGAGATTTCTGGGCCCATGGCAGCCCTGGCTGAGGCCATCTGCTGTCATCCTTGCATCGTCATCTTGGACCTCTGTGCTCCTGGTTCCATGTGAGCACAGCAGGGGACCAAAGTCTCTGCCCGGACACCAGCATCCCTCTTCCCGATGGCTTTCAGGCACAGTCCCAGTCAGCTGAGTTTTCAGTGCATCTTTGCCCTCCCCTGATGCATTTGCTCTCCTACAGCCTGCAAGGTTCGCTGATCTCCAGCCTCAGCCAGGACTAAACCAACCTTTCCTGCTCCTGCTCTTAGCCAGAGACTTTATGATTCATAACCTAGGAGGCCTTATCACATGTGGCTCGGGCTCTGCTCCTTGACTAAGGATGCTGAGGCCCCAGGGGTACCCAAGGGACTGTTAAGTCTGGGCTTGGTAAGTAGAAGACACATAGAGCTAGCTCTTTGTCTGTTTCCAGCCTCTGAGGAATGGGGAACCCCACAGTTGTGCCAAGGATGTAGGTGATGGGGAAGCGTTTGCCAACTGCATCCCGTAACCAGAGAAATCCCTTGCCCAAGGTGCTGTCCAGAGCCTTGGATATGGGTGTTACACCATTGTGCAAGACAGGAGTGACCATAAGGAGCAGGTAGTGGGGAGCATGGCCCAAGCCAACAGGGTGGTTGTTGGGGGGGAAGAGAGGGGCCACAGGACACACTTTAGAAGTAAGCCTTCTCATCTCCATGCTTCTTCTCAAACTTCTGCCTGAGCTCCGAGACCAGAGCTGACTGGCTGGGGCTCCCCAAGGCCTTGGGTTTGGGTGGCCACCGGGGTTGCTGAAGGGTGAGTGAGCCTGAGACTGTAGGCACAGTCCAGAGGGTCACGCCGGTGCTGGGCGCCATTCTGGTGGGCGGAGGGGGAGCCGGGGCTGGGGGCATGGTGCCTCCTGAGCTGTGTTTGTTGCAGTTCTCATGGGGAGGCTCCTCCCTGAGCTCAAACTTGTTAGTAGCCCTGGTCCTCCTGAGCTTGAGCCACTCAATGCGGACGGCGCGGGGTGCAGGGCTGGGCCGCTTGCGGAGCACACGTCGCACTGGCAGGACCTTGTTGGACTTCTTGTTGCGCCAGAAGGTGGCGGTGGAGATGAGGACGGTTATGGCCACGATGCTGGCTACGATGCCTGCCAGCACGCCCACAGCCTTCATGGGGTTGTCCTTGGTCTGCATCAGGAAGGCGGCCATGGGGCTTCGGGACAGCATCTGGAAGAGAGACCCAGCCCCTTGCTCCACATGGGGAAACTTGCTCCCCTTGCTCCACAAGCAGCCTTCAGCTGCTCCTGCCTGGTCCCTGAAGGAGGGCAGTGCAGGGCTGTGAGTTCCCTCAAGCCTGATGGTTTTTAAACTTTCTGGGGGTCAGGCATCCCTTGAGAATCTGTTGAGCACTATGGGCTTAATTCCAGGAAAAACTCACAAAGAGAAAATGTGACAGCTCAGCTCTCCAGAAAAATGCACATAGAGTGTGATGAAAACAATCTCTTTCAGATTAGCAGCTCCTGCCTTAGATGAACTCTGGTCTGGAGAGAGTAAGAAATTGCCTACCTTTGATTATGGAGGGCCTTGTTGGCCAGACTGCATCAGGAACTCCGTCAGTGATGACTCGCTGCCAGGTTCTGAGCTAAGAACTGCACATGCACATAGTAATTGCACTCTGGCTTTCAACACCCACCTGAAGGAGGATCACTGTTCCCATTTTACAGGAAAGGAAGTGGAGGCTTAGCAAAGCCTGAAGTCATACCATTAATGAATGTTGAAAGTAGGATTTTAACATGATTCCAAAGCCTATGTGTTTGATGGCCCCTGCAGCCTTTGCCAGCATTGAGTGTATTTTGGAGGAAGGCTGGAGACACTCTCTCCTTCTGGCCACTTTGCAGCAAGGCCTGAGCTGGTCTCTGACCCTCTTCCCAATCTAGGCTTTGTACCCACCTCAGTGTCTGTGATGTCAATCTTGAGTAAGGCTGTGGTGCTGAAGGATGGGAAGCCGCGGTCCTTGGCCTGCACCTCTAGGGACCATGTGGCATCTCTGTTGGATGTGATGTTGCGCAGGGCATCCAGGGAGTGGATGGAGTTCTTGAGCCGGATTTCCCCTGTGTGTGCATCGATGTTGAACACATTGGCTGGTTCTGCGTGGGTAATGGAATAGTCCACCAGGTTGTTGGGCTCCTCTGCATCCTGGTCTGTGGCCTGTGCACAGGGACAGACAATACTTGTGTACCCTGGCTAAACCAACATGTCATGGGGCCATGCTGGGTTGATGGAAAATAGTCCTGATCCTATTTTGAGTGGACTGGAGGTGGGAGAGAAATTGAATGAACCAGGGTCTAAGCTAGGCTCGGACACACGATTCCCCTCTCAGAGTACATCTAAGTAGTAGGTATTGTTAAAAAAACAAAAACTTGGACACCAAATGACTTGTCTAAGGACAGACAGGTAGAAGTTAAGTTTATTGGGTTTCAGAGTCATATAGTTTCCACACTGTGGAGACAGTGTAGTGCAGTGGGAAAGCATGACTTTGACAGCAGGCAGACCAGCCATGTGAACTAAGGTGAGCCGAACCCTCCACCTGAGCCTCAATTTTTTATTTTGTAAAGTATCTATTCGATTTCCACTTCGACAAGGCCCTCCATAATCAAAGGTATCTCACAGGTTATTTCTGGGTTGAGGTAGGGATGGGTTTACAGCAAGTATCTTAAAAACCCACCCATAATGAAAATCTAATGAACTTTATTTTAAAATAAATTCTTATGCCACAATGTCTCTTGCAGCTGCTGGAACAAAGCTTTCAGGGGAGCTTGGCTGCTTTCAAAGCCCACCTCAATTTTCACTGGGGTGCCCAGCACCATTGTCTTCTCCTGGATGCTCTTTCCAAACTGGGGGTAGTGGTCATTGATGTCCAGCAGAGTGATGAACACCTCAGCCAGGCTGTACCTGCCCTCCATATCTTCTGCCTTCACATAGAAGTTGTACCTGGCAGTAGTCTCAGCATCCAGGTTGGCCCAGGGCTGGGTGTAGATGATCCCAGTGGATGGGTGGATCAGGAAGCTGTGGGCACAGAGAGTGCGGGCACGGTGCACATGCACGTACACATGCAGAAGCCTGCAGTAAAGAGCTGCCTCCAGGAGGTGGCAGTAATGCATATGCATCTTCTCCAAAGTGTTCCCGTGCTCCTTTCCCCATCCTTGCAGTCTGATTGGGGAAGCAGGACCAACCATCTACTTGCCCACCTATCAACACTGAATTTAACAACTGAGTCACAGCCCTTACAAAAACACCTTTGTAAACTCTACTTGGCTATTCTAGCAAGCACACTCTGCAGTTTTTTTCTTTTTGAATTTAATATAATCATTATTTTAAAATAATAAGTTATCTTTAATAGGTTTTTGGAACTTAACATAAACTCTCTCCTATAATTCCTAAAGTTGTGCTTACAGCAGAAATATCTGGAACATTATGAAGACCCGTCAGAAAGTTTTGAAAGTACTTTTGTCTTCAAAGATAGTAAGGAAGGATTAAATTATTTGTATTAGAATAGACAAACCAGTGAATGGCATGCACACATCTAATGGTTCCTAGAGCTGAGGATCACAAGGCATTACAATCTGTGTGTATCTCCTGCCACAGCCTGCCCTTCCCTAGCCCGTCCTTAGCTCAGCACCCCTTGCCTGGCTTCTGAGGCCAGGAGCTCCAGCACAGGGCTGCGATGACCACCCTTCATTGCAGGGTCCCTTGGATCCCAGCATCTGAGCTGCATGTGTCCCCACACCTCTGCCTCAGGCTCTCCACTACTTCCCTCTCATTCCTTGCCCCCCCCCCATTCCTTTCCAAGTTCCTCCTACCTTCAGCACCTCCACCCTTAGACTCCCAAATCCCTTGCCCAAGGCTCTGTCTGGGATTCTGGATCTACTCACAGGTCTGCCCCAGACCCATAGATGGAGTATTTGACTTCGCCCCAGGGACCTGTGTCTGGATCCACAGCCTGGAAGAGAGAAAGCTCGCAGTGGCACCTGCCCCTTTGCCAAGGCACGAGGGCAGCTCCTGTGTCTGAGGGCTGCTTCCATGGCACACTGTGGGGCTTGGGGTTTGCCCAGCTGGGTAGAATCTGATCTAGAGGTTTGCTCTAGATTTTCCACCCAGGGGATCTCAAGTGTTGGGGAACCAAAAGGTTTAGATCTGGAAGGCATTTATTCCTCCTTTGTAAAAGAGGAAGGAAAAGATGAGCCCCATGCCCTGAACTAGGGTTTACACTAATGTCCTCCTTCAGTGTGAGGTGTCATCTCCTTTGTATAGAAGAAACTGAGGCTCAGAGAGGACAGGAGCTTGTCCAAGGACATAGGTAGTGAATGTAGGCTTTGAGATTCAAACTAGAACCCAGGTTTGTCTGACTTCATCAGGCACCCCCGCAGTGGGGGCCCCATCCCACCCCCAGCCCCTGGGCCAGTCCCCAGCTCACCGTGACAGCCACCACGTTGGAGCCGCCCGGGGCATTCTCGGGTATCCTGGCAATGTAGTAGTGGGAGGTGAACTTGGGGACATTGTCGTTGGTGTCCAGGAGCTGGATCACAACATCCGCTGTGGAGCTGAACTTCTCTGGGGTGTTCACTTCAACGGCCAGGAGCTGGGGAAGGGAGCAGAGGAGGACCTGTCTGGGTGGCGGTCCCCTGCTGAGAGCCTTCCTGCTTCCTGCCTCAGCACTGGCCCAGTACCCGCTGGCCTTGTCTCCAGTCCTTACTCTCAGCTGCCAGCCAGCAATTCCTGCTGCCAGCTACCAGGACCACCTGGAAGGCATTACATCATCTCCCCCCACCAACCTGCAATGCCTGCTTTCTTGGAGTTCTTATAGTCGATTTGGGCCAATTTCTTTTGTTTCAATGATTTGCATATTACTTATTAGTTCCAATTTAAAAAATTATTTTGCTTCATAATATAATTAAATATTTATCAGAACAAGTTCCTGCCTCATTTCCCTCCCTGAATTTTCCTGACTATTCTTAGAGGTTTATTTTTTCAGATAAAATCCAATGTAATTGTGTCAAGCCCCCTCACCACCTCCCCAAGGGAAATTTTAAGTAAGACTTATTGAGATGGCATTGGATTCTTCATTAATTTAATGAAAATATGCATGTCTTAACAAGAAGAGCCTTTCCATTTCGTGCCTTCTTTATATTCCTTTGTTTACATTTTTTGTCACTTACTGTATATTTCTTGTTATCGTAATTCCTAGGAATTTTACTTTTAGTCATCATTGTAAAAGAGAATTCTGCATTCCATCATTCTGAATGCTATTTTTTGTATGTAGGAAAACTATTAGATTTTGTGTATTAACTTTGTAATCAACCGTGTTAGTAACTTTCCTGTGTCTCTAACAGTTTTTGATCATTTCTCTTAGGTTTTCTTAAGCAAACAAACATATTATCTACAAATAATGATAATTTTGACTCTTCCTTTCTAACGTTTTTGCCTCTTCTTTCCTTTCTTTATCCAGGAGTAACATTATTCCAGGAATAGTGTTAAATAACAGTGGTGATAGCAAGCATCCATGTTTTGGTCTTGATTGCACAGAATGCTTTTAGAATTTCACCTTTAAGCACAATGCTGGCCATAGATGTGCATATGTGTAGAGTTATAAATAACAATAATCATTTAAATAATATCAACAAAGTATTTATTTTTTCCATCTTCTGTTACTTTATCAGAATAAGTGATTGATGTCAAATTCATATAAAAAACATCAGTCTTGATAATCAAATCGTTTTTCCTTCTTAATCTATTAACAAGGAACATTATATTCAAGTTTTCCTTTGACTCTTCCTTGCATTCTGGGGAGAATTGAAGCAGGCGAGGCAAAGGGACTGAGAAGAAAAGAGGCCAGGGAGGGGTAGGGGCTGACAAGGGGCCTCTGGGAATGAATCCAGGGGCTGCTGGGACCCCCCCATTCTGGGAAGTGCAAAGCACTACCTACCTTGAAGGTTAACACTTTGAACTTTTCAAAGTCAATTGCGGCCGAGTTCTCCACAATGATGGTGACTTGGGCTTCATTCAGGACTGTAAGCGGGACCACTCGGAAGATACCCCCGGGCCCCACCAACCTCAGGTTGAATTTGGCATTGGCTCCCTGGGCAACATTGTTTGGAGAGAGGAAACACGATGAATGAGAGTAGAAACTCATTATGTAGCCCACGCCACTAAGCGAGGAGCCTTCATATGTCCTTAACCCTGAGAAGAACTATCGCTTCTTTCTATAGGCCAGGCAGTCCAGGATCAGGAAGACTAAGCAGGCTAGGTAGCCCTCAGCAAGGGAGCAAACACACATGGCCTGGTCCTGCGCTGGGCACAGAGGTGACAGGACACATTCACATGTGCCTCTCTGGCAGATCAGGGGCAGGAGAGCTTTAGCTTGACTGATGTTTTACTTTTTAATTGATTGTGAATGTTTTTAGGCCAAGCAGACAGTCTTCCACCCTGCTCTTGGTTATACCCCCTTGTGTCATTCATTAGTGACCCAGCAGGTCTGGGACATACAGTGAAGGCTATGCAGACCCAGCCTTGGGACCTCAGAAGACAGAGGGGAAAGCAGGACCACACACCTGGTCTGAGTCGTTGACAGTGATCTTGAGGCCCCGCAGGATCTCCCCCTGAGGTGGGTGCTCATACATGGACAGCTCAAATCTGTTCTGGGGTCCACTCTCTCCATAGAATGTAGGCGGATGGTTGTTGAGGTCTACGATTCTGATGATGACTGGGACTGTGGCCTGGGCAGCTGGGCTCCCTGCAGGACTGACCTCAGTTACCTGCAGTGGGGATAGGTGGCTAGGGCTGTGTGACAGGCCATCTCCAAGATGGCCCCAGTGATCCCCACCTCTGGAAGTTTGTGCTCTTGTGCAATTCCCTTTCCTTATGTGTGCCCTGGCCTAACAACTTGCTTCTGACAGAATATGGCAAAGGGGATGTGTGTTGTTTTCAGACATTATGTTTATGGTAATATGTGACAACAGCCACAAGAAACTAATACCATGCTCTTACTAACCCTCTTTTGCAGGTGAGGCACAGAGGGGCGAAGCAGTCACTAGAGTCATACAGCTAGTGAGGAGCAGAGCTGGAATTGGAGGCACTCAGGCATCTGATTCCTGAATCAGGGCTGTCTCCATCTCACCACACTGCCTCCCTTTCTTGGTTTCAAATTCCAGTTCTGCCACATTCTGTTCCTATGTCCATTTGGCCAGTCAGTGGTGGGGGGGGTGCTGCAGGGAGGGGAGATGTGGAGATGCAGCAACAGAGAATGAATGCAGGCTGCGAGTCAGGGCCGAGAATTCATAGGCAGTGCATGTACCACATGACACATATCATATGAACCCCTTCCAGGCCTCCTTCCGCTTGCTCTGTAGGCATGCTATGCTCTTACCTATCCTACAATTACATTCTCCGGATGCTACTCTGTCACACCCTAGCTGCTGTCCTCACTTTCCCTTCTCAGAAGCCTATATCTGCTGTCTCTATTTCCTACTTTCCACTCAACTCTCAGCTCATCCCCAACTTGGATACCACACACTGGTTTCCAAGATGCAGGCAGCACTGTCACCTCTTTCACCTTCACGAGTGCTCTGTTCCCTTGGCGAATGAGACTCCACTTTCTGCAGGTTCCTCCCCACCTCACTGATCTCTCCTGGGTCTCCGTCACCTGTGTCCCCCTCCTTCTCACTCCTAGCCCTGGAAGCTCCCAGAGCTGTGTTCCTGGCCAATGGCTCCTCTCTCCGCACAGCCATCCTCTGGGTGATCTCATTCCCTCCCAAGTGGGGAAGGCCAAGCTAGAGGCAGGGTACCTGTACATGCAGCTCATACACATCTCTCCGGAGCTGGACAGGGCTCTGGGTGATGGAGATGGCTCCAGACGTCGCATTAATTTCAAAGGCTCCATCACTCCCTGTCAAGAAATGCACCCTGCAGTTCCACGTGTGGCCACAAGGGGATGAGGGGAGCCGCTCTGGGTAGGGTGCCATATGTTCCTTTGCATTATCTCACTGAAGTCTCTGCTATAGGATGTAATTCTATTATCTGTGTCTTGCCAGTAAGGAAACTGAGTGTTGGCGGGGCTAAGTAACTTCTGTAAAGTTGCACAGTGAGTGCAGAGCTGGGACTTAAACTCACTTCTGTCTGGCTCCCAGGTTCCACAGTACTTTGCTTCTCGCATGCCTAGTGTGTGCACACACACACACATGTGCTTGTGATGGAAGGAGAAAGGGGGAAAGAAAGACACAGAGAGAGGGAGATATGGAAGGGGAGAGAGATGAGAAAAGGGAAGGGGGAGGGGGGGAAGAAAGAGGAGAGAGGGAGATGAAAGAGGGTGAGGAGGGAGAGCAGGAGAGAGAGGAGATGGGGAGGGGTAGGCGTTCAGTAACTGTACGTGGTTCAGGGGTGGAAGGGATGGAAGGCAGTCAAGGGTCAGTGCGCCCTGGGAAAGGAGCCTGCGGGTGACGGTGAGTGTGTCCGTGCATGTGTGAGCCTCTGAAGGCCGCGTGTGCACCAGACACATTCTCAGAATGTGGTTGGGGGAAGCCACGGGGTCTGAGAGAATGTGGACAAGTGCATGTTGGGATCATGCCCTAGACATGATGGTCTAACAGAGAGGCCTGGCTCACAGGGACCAGCTACTGAGGGCTGAAGAGCGTGTGCAGCTGCTGGGCTGTGGAAAGAGCACACACTTAGAGCCAGCAGTCCTAGGTCCAAACCCCATGGGAGCTTGGGTTGCCCATTTAGTTTCTCTGAGCCTCAGTTTTCTTGTCCTTAAACAGGGCCAGTATTAGGGAAATGCTGTATATCGTTGCACTTAATTCATTTAATTCAGCTGTGTGTCTAGGCCAAAGCAACAGCAATTTAAGGAGTATGAGAAATGCTGTCACCCCTTCCCATCAAGGAGCATATGTCTAGGGTGAAGGGAACAGGCACGGGCACCACCGGTGGCACCCTCAATCCTGCCCCTTGATGCTTCCCCCCTGTTGCTGGACATAATGACAAGCAGGGCTGGAGTACTTGTCTAAGGGAGACTTGCTGCCTCTTGAAGGGACCCAGCCTCTTCACTTCAGACACGTGTATCCCTGGCCCTCTGGGACCCAGAGGCTGCAGCCCAGCGATAAGCCTATCCCCAAAGCTGCCCCAGACTCACCATTCACAAGGCTGTAGAGAATGTGGTTGGGTTTGCCCCGATCTCCATCCATGGCAACCACAGTCAGTACCTCTGAGCCCTGGGGAAAATGAAAGCAGCTGTCTGAGGCTGATGGATGCTGCTGAGGCTCCCCCCTCCCCAGACACTGCCCCCAACACAAAGGGAGATGCTGTCTCTGCCCAAGAAAAGAGCCAGGCCTCCTGCCTAGGTCTCCTCCCCATATGTCCTAGTCTCCTTTCCCACACGCCACACTCAGCCTGCACCCCTGCTGCCCCAGCCCTCCAGCATCACTCCCACTCCCTCACTGACCTTTTACCTTCAGAGGTACACTGAGGGGAGGGGAGGGACAGCTGGGCACAGAGAGTTCCAGTACCAAGTCCAGGAGCTAGACTTTATCCTGTGGACCTGTGGTGCCACAACTAGAGCAGCCCTGCTCCCCCCGGGCCTGTGCCCCTTCTAAGCTCCTCACTCAGACCTTCTCCCTTGCATGCCCACACTCAGGGCTGCTTCCAGACTGTCCAGGTGCTGCCCCTCCCTTCAGCATCTCTTTTTGCCCCTCGCTCCTCAGCAGGACAGCCTGGGCCCTGCTGTCCCGTCCTGTGGTCCCCAACAGGGCAGGCCAGCATGTCACTCTCCAGCGCTCTGTGCTTGCCTCCACCACTGACTGCCCACTCCTGGTGAGGTGGCGTCTTAGCTTGGGCCCAGCAGAGGACTTCCTCAGTGTTTTCATTGTTTTATGAAGTTGGGAATAATTAGAAACCAGTGAGGTGAAAATTGAGAATGCAATTCAATTCCACAGAGAGTTCCTGTGCTGTAGCCGTGTGAGCTCTGGCTCTGTCAGGGAGCTCATGGTCTGGCTGGGGGTGCAAATAAATGCATAAATACATGGTGCAGCCCAAGGAGGGGCATGCTTGGGGAGGAGGGGTGTGCATGGTGTGGGAGCAGTGGAGGTCACCCTGCCTCAACCAAAGATGTCAGGGAAAATGGTGCCTGGGCTACTTTGGGCCGAGGGTTAGGGCAGAGTGGTGCACAGGGATGGTACATAGAGGATGGGGAGGCCTCAGAGGTAGACAGAAGGCCAGGCCTCTGCTGCCTGGTTGTGTCGTGGGACCTTCCCTGAGAGGTACAGAGCTGAAATACCCAGGATGGCGACTGCACTGTTGGGGAGGGAAACAGTCTGGCCTCCCAGCTGGGCCTGTGCCTGACAAGGGTTGGGGTGGGTTGGCAGCAAACTGTGAGAGAAGAGCTACTAGTCTGAGGGATCCCAGGCTATAGGCTTGGAGCTGGGGAGGCACAGAGGAATCCCATCCCCTGGCTAGGAGCAGGAAAGACCTCACTGGAACCAAGGCCATGGGCCAGCTGCAAGCCACTATCTCAGCCCTTTTGAAGGGCTGACATTTGAGGCTGGGCTGGGTGAGAATGAACGAGTGAATAAATGCCTGGCACAGTCTTGGCGCCTAGGAGGCACCCACACACCAACACCTGGCTTCTTCCTACACTTCCACCAGCAAAAGGACCTGTTTGTGGCTGGAATACTTGTCTAAGGGAGATTTGCCACCTCTTGGAGGGACCCAGCCTCTCAACTCCAAACATGTGTATCCCTGGCCCCCTGGGACCCACATGTCCTACAGTCTCCAAGTGAGGAGGGCCACTTGAGGCCAAGCCCACTTGTCCCCAGTAGGGGGATCCCACAGCTGTGGGCACCCACCGGGAAGGTGTCCTCATACACATAGCCATAGTAGGGTGTGCCCACGAAGAGAGGGGCCATGTCCTGCACATCCCCCACGTTGACTGTGACTGTGGTGGTGGCTGAGAACACCACGTCAGCCCCTCGCAGCCTCCCTCCACCGTCCTGGGGAAGAATCAGAGAGTGAAGAGAGGTTGGACTCTGGAGCCAGACAGACTCCAGTGGAGCTGGCTCCTGCCGTTTACTGGCCCAGAGGCCAGCTGCCATCTCTGAGTTCTGTTTGCTCCTGTGTCACCTGGAGCTAACTGTGTCTCCTAGGAATACTGGGAAAGTTAATGACATGATGCATGGAAGTCTTCAGTCAGTGCCTGGTAGGTGCCTACAAGTGTTCCTTTGGAAATGAGGCTAGTTTTCTCTCCAGAGAAATAATGTCTGACGCGTGGCAGAGGAGGGAATCAGAGCCAAATTGCCCTCTCAGCCAGGAGCTAAGCATCAGACACCTCCTGAGGCCCTACTCAGAGCATGCCTTGGGCCTCCGCCTGAGCGGGGTGAGTGGAGTGTGTGCCCCCTGGGCCCAGACCTCTCCGAGAAATGGCTCACAATACAGGCTGGAGTGGGATGGACTGCAGCCAGTATGCGACCAGCAAGGGCCTTTCTTTTCCTGGGAAAGAAAATACCTCTGGGCCTAGCCAGATGCTGGGGTTTCCCATCCTGGGGGAAGAGCGGCCACTGTGGCGGAGCCTGCAGAGTTGCTGCCCCACATCGTGCACTTCAGAAACACCAGGAGCTTAGTTCAGCCTCAGAGGTGGGAAGACAAGGAAACTGAGGCTCAGAGAGGGTAACTGATCCCACAGAGAAGAGGTGGGTGGGCGAGCCCAGGCAGAGGGTTGGAGGTGCCCAGAGGCCAGGGTACAGGGCATGTGAGGGGGTGCGAGTCTCCAGGCCACCTGGTTCTGCAGGGGGGATCCCGGCCTGTCAGTCTCGTGGGGACGTTTGCCCTCTCCCAGGAGGGAATATGTCTTCTCCAGTCTACAGACACCAGCCTCCCTTGAGGGCAGGACCCACTCAAAGGAGGTTCTGAGCAGCCCCACCCCTAGCACTCCTTCTGCTCTGCAAACTGCCCCCTTTCCATTGCAGGGCCCAATTCAGTCCCAATCCAGGGGCAGCTTCCCCTAACAAAGGCCAGGGAAAGACTGGATGCTCCCCATTCCTCCCTCTCTTTACCTTGGCAACCACTGTGAGGAAGTGGGTCCGGGCTTTCTCGTAGTCCAGAGCGCTCCCAGCCCGGAGGCGCAGCACGCCGCTGTGGTGGTCCATGGCAAACGTGGCAGAGTCCTTGCTCTGGAAGAGCCGGAAGCAGGCTGGGCCTCAGGGAAGGACCCGGCTGGCCCCAGGACTGCCCCCTCTGATTATGGAAAGGGGTGTTCTCTGTCCTCTATCACAAGAATTCTGGCCCCAGGGCTGAGGTTCAAACTTCAGGGCATAGCCCCCAGGGCCCCTCTGCCTAAGACTCTGGCATCCATGGCCACACCCTCAGGCCCCTCCAGCAGGGCCTCAGCTTTTCTGCTTCTCAGCTAGAAAACCAGGCCCAACTTTGGGCTAAGCTCTGGCCTGGAGGTTCCAACAGGTAGAAAGGTCAGCGAGTGTTCTAACCTAGAGTTCAAGAACCTAAAAGCGATAGTGTTAAAGAAAGCCCCCAAGGACTTCAAACCCCACCAAGTGACTGTGGGCCAGTCCAGGCAGTGCCTGGGGTGGGATGTGGTGGGTGGAGGGACAGGAGATGATCCTCAACCTGAAGACGGATTACTGAGTCAGGAGCTGTTTTCAGAGCTTTACATGTATTTAATCCTCAACCATCCATGAGGATGTGCTTTTATTCTCCCATCTTACATGAGAGGAAACTGAGCTGGGAAAATTAGACAACAGGTTGAAGAGGCTCACCAGTGGGAAGTGGTGGGATCTCTCCAGTATGTGGAGCCCAGGGGATGGCACCAGAACCTGAGTTCTTAGCCACTGGCTGTACTGCCTTGAAAATAGTGAGAGCAAGTGACCAAATGTGAAGAGTAAGGTGCAGCTGCCGAAACAGCAGATGAGTGAAGGAGGACAGCTGGCTCCTGATGGGTCCTGGAAGAAGCAGGAGGGGCAGGGGGTCTCTGCCTGTGACAAGGTGGCATGGGGTGTGGGGTAGGGGATGTCACACCTGTGCTCCTTCTGAGAGTCACCCCTTCTGCCCTGTTTCCTATTGACAATTCTAGGCCCAGATAGGTTTCTTCTACCCTGTGTGGGTACAAAGCGCCTAGGCTTCCTCCTGGGGAAGGGGTTGGGGGTAGAAAGCTGGGGATCCTGGAGATCTATGGGGCAGTATGCAGGCCAGCTGAAGGGATCCAGGATGGGTCCATCAGGAGAAGATAGCTTCTCACGTCTCCACCTAACCATCCCACCCCTGTGCATCTGTTGTGGCTCCTCTGCCAACCTTTGGGAATAGGTAGAGGTGTTAACCTGAGGGCCTTGATGACAAGGCAGGGGCCATGCAGGTATCCCCTCTAGCCCAGGCCTCTGGTTCTGTCCTGTGTGCCCTGCCTTACCTGCAGGAAGTAGGTGACACTTCCTCCAGAACCTGTGTCCTTGTCCACTGCATGGACCTTAATGATGCTGCTCCCAGCAGGTGTGTCCTGAGGGGTAACAGCCACAGGGGTCAGTCCTGGGGTAGTGGCAGAATGCTCAGGGAACTGGGATTCAGGGGCGGCCATGGAAATATAGAGGCAGGGAAATGGAGGGCTAAAAAGAGATGGAAAGGTGGGGATTCACCCAAAGAGCACCCAGCTGGGGAAGGGGCAGCACAGGAGACACACCAGTCAGCATGGGTGCAGGGAAGGAGGAGCACATGGACATGTCCCCTGAGGATGGCCTCAAGGACAGAGTGAGAGAAATGAACTCCAAATAGATAAAGTTAAATATGGAATGAGAAAACAGTTAATAAACACAGACATATTCAGCATCACCGGAGATCACATGCACACAACTTGGAGCCAGAATAAAATACTTCTCCTACTGAATTAGCAAACAGTAAAAAATTTGAGTGTCCTGTGTTGGTTAGGGATGGGGAGACAACCCCTCCCTCCCATATCTCTGCAGGGGAAATGAAATAGGTGCCATTCTGGAAAAGCAATACACAAACACCTCATCTCATTTATGCTTATGACCTAATAATTTCTGATCTTGGACTGTATCATAAGAAAATCATCTTAATTAGAGAAAAGGAACTTTCATGTTCAGAATTTGCTATTTATTTATGACAACAAAAATGTAAAACATCTTAAATATCCAAACATAAAGGAACAGGTCAGTAAATGATGGAATATGCACTAAATGGAAACTATTAAAATGATAGTTACCCAAATTTTACAGTTATTAAGGAAAATGCTAACATTATAAATTAAGTATTAAAAACAGTGTACAGAAGGCCTATGATTAATGTAGTCACAACTATGTAAAACAAATGGAAAACAAATCCAATAATCATAAAAGTGACCAGGAAGAAACACCAAACTATAACAAATGTCTCAAGCGAGGGATTGAGGGTTATTTTTAAAACTTTTTTTTCTACTTTTCTGCATATTTTACATTTCCAGAATAAACATGCATTATGATTATAGTGGAAAATGGTAAACAAACATTCCTTTGGAATAAGATTGAATGTGTGAAAATATGGCAACAGAGAAAGAGCAGGGAGGGGCAGGCTCTCCAGAGGGCTGTGAGCAATACAGGGGCGCTTTTCACTCCCCTGCCGGGTCCCCTTGGCCAGGAGACAGAGTGGCCCCAGAGGAGGACAGGGATCTGGGGTGGAGCACATGGGTTCTGTCTATGGGTCCCTCACTCACCTCAGGGACCTGAACAACATAGGGCTCCTGGATGAACCTGGGCGCCTCATCGTTGGCATCAGTCACCAGTATCATGACCTTTTCTGCCACCTGAGAAGGGGCAAAGGGAGTTGGGCAAGCAGTGAGACCTCGGTGATAAAGGGACAGTGGCCTTTAATGCCCCTGGTGTATGTCTCTGTGCATCCCTCCTCCTTCCTTCCCTCTTTGATTCATTCATGTAATAAATATTATTCAGCAACTATTTGGTGCCAAGCACTGTATTCCATCCTGGAGACAGAAGACACAGTCTGATGGTGTGTAATTTGCAGGATGGGATGGTGGTGGGAAGATCAGCATATAAAAGAATGGTGCTGATATCACTGAGGGTGATCACAGCAGCATGCTGGGTACCCAGGGCAGGGCCCCTGATGGTCTGACTCCCGGGAACATCACGCACACCGTGGCCTGGGTACATGCAACCCTGGGAATGTGGGTGCAGAGTCCAGGAGGCTGTCTGCAGAGACCTCAAGAAGAAGCATCTAACCCAGCCTGTGGTGGTGGGCAGCAGGAAGCTTTCCAGAGAAGTGGGATTAAGCTCTGCTATGGTTTGTCAGGGGGAGGGAGACAGGTGGAAAAGTGTGCCAGGAAGAAGCAACACGTATAAAGGCAGAGGAGTGAGATGCATGGTGAGTTCAGAGCATGTTAGCAGATTTATGGCTAGATGGTTGGTAGGGTGAATGTGGGAAAAAAGGTGGACAAGGCAGATGGTGCTGGAGGGGGAGACCCTGCATGCCAGACTGAAGCTGGGGTTTCATCCTAAGGGGAGCAGGGACCAGCCATTAGTGTTTTCTGAGCTGGGTTGTGGCCGGGTCTGTTCCGCAAGGGTGGCTCTGGCTGAACTTCGGAAGTGGATGGAGTCAGGAGCCTGGAGGCAGGGGAGCCCCTGTGATTATGCCTATGCTAGACAGCCCTGATGAAGACTGTGGAGAAGGTGGGGAGGGAGAAGCTGGGGTCTGTGCACCCAGGTGGTCAGCCTGGATGACAAGGTAGAGCCAAGAGCCAGGTCAGTGAAGGCAGGTGGCAAAGCAGGTTGGAAGAGATGCTCCATCAGGAAGACAGATCTTACTCTCTCTATTCCCCCTTCTTCCCCACTAGCCTCACTGGCTCCAGCCCTCCTTTGCAGGCGTATTGTGACAGATTCAGCTGGGTCTCAGCTTGAGTTTGCCAGGGAGCCCCCAGGAGGCTGCAGGAGAAACTGTGGTCAGGCCCAGGGAGCTATGTGCTGCCAGGGGGCTGGCTTGAGTGTGCACTCACCAGATTCAGGCCGTCGGAAATGCTGATGATGGCTTCAATTTCATCCTCCTTCTGTGAAGCACAGGGACTTGTGAGTGTCCAAGGTCTAATCTACCACGGGGACCCTGGAGCTCTGGCAAAGGGCCGGGTGGCTGAAAGCTGCCTCCAGCTATGCCTCAAACCTCATTTCTAAGCTTGGCACATCAGGGGTTATAAGCCCAGAGGGACTGTTGAGTTGCCAGCAGAGAGTGCTCCCCTGCTAGAATGAGGGAGGTGCTGACCCAGTGCACTTGGGGACCCAGGAAGAAGGAAGGTTTTTTCCCCTTTTCCCTTTTCTCCTCCTTATCTCTCCACACCTTCTCCGTATTCCACAGTGTGCAGAGGTCCAGGTCCGCGGGGTGCAAGCCCTCCGTAGGACATGGTGGAACCTCAGGGAGGAAGGGTGTTGAGGCCACCAGGTCCTGGACACACCAGGGAGGGGCAGCGCAGTCACACCTCCACCACTGTGTCCCCACCACAGTCTCTGAGACCCACCCTTTCATTTCTCCACCCTGGCCTGAACTGATGGAGTCGCACATGGAGCCAAAGCCAGCAGCAGCCTCACAGCTGAGGTCCAGTTCTGTGGCCAGCTAGGCCCACCAGCCTAGTGTGGGGTCTCAAAAAGGAAATGTAGCCCATATTCTGTCACCTGAAGGGTCAGATGGGTGGAGAAGGTAGTTTTACCAAACTCAGACCCACTCTCTAAACCTCTCTTTCCAGCCCTGCTCTGCTGTCTGAGCTTTCTGTGGTTTATAGACCTCTCCAAGGACCATCTGTAGGGCACCTTGCAGCCCACAGAGGTTTGTCTGCACGCCCAGCCACAGTGCTCCTCACACCTCCACATACCTCTCTGTCTAGCTCTTCAACCAGGGTGATGTTTCCAAAATTGGAGTCCACAGAAAAGACGCTTCTAGTGCTGGGGTCAAAGCTGATGTGGTAGGAGACAGGGTCTCCCTCGGGGTCTGTCCCATTCAGGGTGTACACATGGGAACCTGGAAGGAGACACAGAGGGGAGACCTAGAATCTGGGACCAGACTTTTCCTAAAAGTGGAAGCTGCATAGAACCAAGTATTCAACTGTTTATAAAGTAGAAGGTTAAGTCAGTACCAAACACACCACCCTGAGCTGAGCATGTGCTGTGGACCTCATCCCAGTGGGCTGCTTCCCTCTCTACTCTTCATGACCATGACTGCCGGTGAGATGTTAGCATCAGCCACCTCTCAGGTTGTGATCTATAATATGCATTACAGAGAAGTTTCAGGGCTGCTGTGCCTAATTAGCAGTGGGGCCTCTGCTGGGTATAGATTCCTGTCCCAGCAGCCAAGTTTGAGGGTTTCCTGGATTTGGGGGAGGGGGGAAGGGAGGAGCTGTTAGAGCAGGAGGGGTGACCCAAGGTGCTGTTCCCATATCCAGGTCCTCAGGGGTTTCTGAGCTGGTGCCCCTGTTACACTGCTGTCCCTTCACCCAGGGTTCCCAGCCCAGACAGGTGAGAGAGAGAAAATGCAAATCTCTTTCCTCCTCCTCACTTCTCCTCTCTCTCTTGCATATGCAGGGCATTGGATGTTCTTGGGCCAGTCCAAAGCCTAAAGCTCTGAGGTTCTGGGAGGGAAGCGGATTTGTTCTAGGTGACACAGAGGGTGAGGGTCAGCTCTGGGGCTAAGTCCTCATGCTGCATACTACTGCCTGCTGTCCGGGGCTCATCCTGCCTCTGGGCCTGCAGCGGGGTCCCCAGGACTGGTCTGGCTTAGGTCTCCATGGCAGCGGTGACCTCCTTTCTGCAACTGCCGGAGGGAATTCAGAGCGCAAACAGGGCTCCTCTGGGAGTGAGAGCAGTCTGGCGCCCGGTGCCTCGATAGGCTCGGGGGAGTCACGGGTTACTCCCGCGTCCAGGGGAACATGGGCTGCCCCTCCGGGAGATCTATGGGGGCCGGTGCCAGGGCTACTCACCTACAGGGGTGTCCTCTGGGAGGCTGAACAGGGCCATGTTTCCGTTAGTGCTGCCGACCCCGTTGTCGAAGAAGTGGGGGGCGAAGTTGGCCTGGGCTAGGAAAAGAACGCAAGAGAACGACACGAGGAAGGAAAACTTCGCACCAGCGCACGCATCTGGCCCTAGGCCTGGGCAGGCGGACGCTCACCTTCCCATCCCCAGCACACCGACAGCCTCGGCTGGGGAGCCACGGAGAGGGTCCCTCCCCCCACTCCCCGTGGACTCGGGCTGGGCTGGGGCTTCCCAGGGACGTACACCAACAGGGGCGCTTAGAACGCAGGCAGAGGCCAATCTCAACCATCAAAGAGCAGCCTGGGAACCCGCGCCCAGAGAGGGAGAGTGCCCCGGCCAAGGTCACGGCGGGAGCGGGGACACCCTACCATGCCCCACGCAGCCATCAGAGCAGCCTAATGAAGAAGCCGAGGGTAGCGGGGATCCTGGCCCCAAATCTGGGGTATCCAGAGTACCACCCTCTGGAGAAGAACTCCGGGAGTGCCCCCTCTAACCAGCGATCCCCCCGCCCCGCCTCGGTCCCCCAGCCGGTGCACCGGCTACTCACCCAGGCAGAGGAAGAGCAGCCCCAGGGCCAAGGCGGCCCCCGGGCGGTGCCTCATGTCTCCGCGGGCGGGTAGTGTAGCTCGCCGCCGCCAAGGCCGGGCGCAGGAACCCGGAGCATGCCCCGGGCGCGCGAGGAGTGCACGGACTGCAGTGGGGGTGGCGGCGGCGGTGGCGGGAGGGGCCGCGGGTGTGCGAGGGCGCTGAGCGGCTGACTCCGCTCGGATCGCTGGAGCGCTACCGCCGCCGCCTAGAGAGACCAGTCAGTGCGCGACGGGCGGGGCGGGCGTGACGGGAGGGCCCCTCTCTCCTCCCAGGACTCCCTCGTCCAGGTCTGGAGCGCGGGAGACAAGGGGCCCAGGTCCGCAGATGGGAGCACTGTGGAGGAGACCAAGTCCCTTCCCCCAGGTTGCCCTGAGCAGGGCACTGGAAACTTGGGGCTTCCGAGGTCCCCAAGTTCTGCGGGGGGCGGGGGGCTGGGCTTCCCTGGAGTTTTCCCTTTTTATGAACTTCCTAGTGACTTTCAGGGAGCTCACCACTCTCTCTGAGCCTGAACATTCCAGACTGCGAAACAGTAGCAGGGGAACTACCCAGCGTCAGATTTCTCAAGGGATCTCTTCCTAAAGGAGAAATGAGAGCAAGAGAGAAAAGGGGAAAGGGGGTGGCTGCTTGGAAGGACATTGCCCTCCCAGGTTCCAGGTATAGCACCCCTGAAGCTTTGAGGGTGAGATAAAGAGACAAAGAGGAGGGAGAGGAACAGATGGTGAGGGGTTATCAGGTCCTCTCTCTGGCATCTCAACCCATTCCTGCCCTGCCCCCCAGGACAGACCAACTGTCCTAAAGAGTCTAATCACTAGTCCAATCACTGATGATGGGTACATATGTGTGGTGGATAACAGTGAGGGCCTTCCAGTCTCCTCAAAGCTGGGAAGCAGAAATAGCCAAGTAGTTGGTTGGTCTGCCTCCCCATCCCCAGTGCCTACTGGGTGCCTATGGAAAAGCAGTAGATCCCCTCAAGCTTGCAAAAAAGGTGAATGGCTTGAAGGCAGATTCGAGCCCTGTCGTGGGACAGACTTCCTAACAGCCAACCCAGTATGGACTGCCC